CTCTGTCAAAATCAAGATACTGTAGAGGGAACACTCTGAGGAGGAGTGAATGAACATAAAACTCACATGCAGAGTCCACATCCATACCACATTCATAGCGCTTAGAGACTTAAGAACCCTAGAAGGTGAAGCTGCTAAAGACATGAGATTACCAAAACCCTCCTATAAGGGAAGCTGGAGGTCTGGCTAGCAGATAAAAAGCAATGCGTACAGAATTATGATTTGAAAATCTTGGATAGTGTGATTTTAAACATGTTTTAAGAGCAGTTAACTGTTACATACTGCTACAGAAAAAAATGCCAAGCACCATCAGAATCCTGCACAGCACAACTCAGAAGTCCAAGCAGTGCAGTTTCAATAGCTATGGAGAGAAGAGAAGATATACACGCCTTCCAGTCAGCAAAGAGTGCACTCTAATCACCTGGTCTCTAATCCAGTTTGGCGATTAAAAAGAAAGAAACTGATAATATCTAAGCTAATTATTCTTGAACATCACTACCCCCAAATATTTTCCAAGTGATTGAAAGAGAGATTACTGTTAGCTTCTAAAGAAATTTTTTGTTGCCAGGTATGACACTCCCTTAGATATTTAAAAGGACAAATAAATCGGAGCTGTACATAGCAATTACTTCAAAAGTCTGTATTAACAAGTTATCTGAAGAAAAAAATATATATTTTCAATGAACTTTACAATTTGCAGAGCTGACATTCATTTCTGTTTAGAAAACTGCCCTAGTAAACATAAAACATTTCTGTTTTATATAAAATCAATGACAATCTTTAAACAGATCCACTTAGTGGATTAAGTAAAATACTCTGTGACCTTTTTTTAAAGCTCAGAGATGTGTTGTAGCTGTTTCTTTTATTTTGTTACTTCAATATATTATTCCAAGATAATGAATGTTAGAGTCAACATTCTCCTACACTAATTGCAACAAGTTAAGGTAAGCTCCTAGTGACTTTGTTTAATGCAATTGAAAAAAAAAGTCAACATGTGGTAAACTCATAGGTGGTTAAAGAAAATTTCTCAGCTACTGAGAGCAGCTGAAGAAAAAACAACAGAACATATCAATGAAATGCAAATTAGGATCAGGGATCAAACTTAGAGAAACTTTTAAGATGACTGACAAATGCGTCTCTTAGATTACTTCTATTATTCTAAAAAACTCTCAAAATCTGTAGGCTGTTTTGCCCTGTAGATACCCAGGGAACCCGACAAACGCATTTAAAGCAGGTACAGAGTCAGAGCCTTAGGCTTCTCTTTAGTAAAGGATCACTTTAATTTTGGTCCTTAAAATCTACTGCACATTAAGAGAGCCTGGAACAGAAAGGCATAGGAAAAACAAACAAACAAACAGAAAAGCCTACACTGAAACATTCCACCTTCTGTATACGCATATATACGTCTTGCCCTCTGACCTATGTAAGCCTGAGTTGATTTTTGGTAGCTGAGCTTAAGAAACTTAACCAGCATTCAGATTTCATTCACTTTCAACTTCTGCCTAGAAATCCTACGAAATGTTTGCCTCATCCTACTACTGGCATTCACATACAACTATTTTTATTCCTCTAGGCAGCCTGAGTGAAGTAACAAGAACTGAAGAAGTTCAAAAATACGTGGAAAGCTGAAACAAACAAGAGGAGCGTAAAGGCCACAGTTAGGTGAACAGCATTCGCCTGTGCTGACCACAGATAGGGAAGGGCTCTCAAATTACACTTGATGAACTAGCAAGTGTAGTTATCAGAGGAAGCCGAGTTACCCTTCATTGTTCTCTCGGGGACCTTAGCATGCCCTTGATCCACACAATGCCATAAGCTGTAGGCATGGATCAAGGGCATAACATCACTTTCACTAGGCATACCCGGGTATTTTTCTGTCACCGCTTCAAACTACTTCATTTTAAGTGCCCTGAAGTTTGGGATACACGCTATTAAGGACACATACCAGGAAAAAACAGCAGGAAAACTGTCTTGGCAGTGTGAATATGCATTAGAAACATTAAAGCTTTATCACACTTCATGTTTCTCTAGTTTTCAGATACAACAAGTTATATGAATAGATTACACATCAGCTTCCACTGCCAGTAAAATAAATTATCAGAAGCAATGTTTAGTATGTGTATAGTATTCATCTACTATTGATCCTCATAGTAAATGAATCCTCATCTTTCCCAGCAGCATGTCAACGATGATCAATTTCTTCTCTCTGTTACAAAGTTGTATCATTACAGAGCCCCTGGCTGCTAAATATACTGAGTAATTGAACATCTGAGCTTGATGTCTCTAGCAGCATTTCATTTTCACATGTGAACTCTTCAGCAAAGGGAGAGATAGTTTTGAGCCAAACTATTTCTGCAACTTAAAATCACTGCATTTAGTAATACAGGAAAAATAATTAAAAAGGAAGTAAACACTCTCTGTGGTGTAGCGTTATTTAACTGCAAATAGCGATACAGCCACTGCTAGGTGCAAAATACAGTGTTTTGCTGTCTGAAGTACTTTGAGCAATCCAATCCACCCCCATTTTCATAGGCTAAAACGCTTCCCATGTAAAATAACTGTCCTCAGCCAAACAATACAAACACCAATGGTCACACACACACAGAACGTGTGTGTTGTGAAACCCGTAATAACCAGACGGCACGTGAGAACCAGAAGGAGAAGCCGCACAGCGGGACTGGATCGGCCAAGCCAAGTCCCTTGTCCTGCATCAGGATGTGGGGTGTGGGTGGAGGGCGCGCTGCGTGGGCAGCTGCTGCCCCGTGCACGGTGGGTTACCCGCTCCTACCCCAGCCCTAGGTGGTGGGTATGAAGAGTAAACAGAGTGCAGAAGGACACCAAGGAGTAACTGGGAGGTTTAAGCTCCTGTCCGTGCTCAGACCGCCCGTGGCATTTCCCATAACAAAGGGCATTGTTGTGGAGAGCGCTGCGCTTGCACAACGGGCTGCTCGCTGCGCCTTGCCTCTTCTCCTATCCACAACAAACAGACCCAAAGTTTCCAACTGGAAAGCAAGCCAGGAAGTTAACTTTCTGCAAATAACGCCCGCCGCTCTTTCCCCCACTGACCGGATCGCCTCTGCACCACTTAGACACCGTGCCAGGGCGGCGAGGGGAACCGAGCGGGAAGCCCACTGAGTGCGGCGAGTGCCCACCCGTGCCTTTGTCTGCCATTTTACGGCGGCTCGGGAGAAGAGAGGGCCACGGGCGGGCGGTGAGGAGAGAAGAGGAGAGGAGCGGAGCGGAGCACGCAGGGCACGGCCGCAGCCCCGGGCCGACCCCCCCGGCGGATGAGCGGGGCCGCGGCGCTGCCTCCCGGCGGCGGGCTGCCACCTGCCCGCGGCTCCCCCGCCGGTGCCAGCCACCTGCCGCGGGACAGCCGGGCGGCACGGCTCGGCTCGGCACAGCTCGGCTCGGCTCCCGGGGCGGGGCGGGGCGGGGGCCGGGCCGGGGGCTCGCTGGGCGCCTCCGCCGCTAGGCCGCGGGGCCTGCGGGCGGCGCGGGGCGGGCGGGCCGGGCCCGGCCCCTCCTCGGGGCGGCGGGGCCGGGCGGCGGGGCCGGGCGGCGGCAGCGGCCCCCCCTCACTCACCGCTCTCGATCTCGTTGCCCTTCTTGGCGGTGGCTGCGTTCCCCATGGCCGAGCCGGGGCGGCGACGGCGGAGGAGGGAGAGGGAGGGAAGGGGAGGGGGGAAGCGGGACGGATGCCGGGCGGGCGGCGGCGAGGCGGCGGCGGGCGGGCCCGGGGCTCGTGTGGCGGCGCGGCCTGCGGCTGGCTCCCGGCGGCCCCGGCCCCGCGCTGGCTCCCTGTGGCTCCGGCCGCCGCGGAGGAGGAGACGAGCGCTCTGCCCCCCTCCCCCACGCCGACACCCGGCGGAAATGACGACCGGGGCGGCGCCTCCGCCCTGCTGCGCCGCTCGGCGGGCGGCCGGGGGCGCGCGGCACGCGGGGACACGGCGCCGGCAGCAGCGGGGCCAGGACCGGCGCTGCCCTCCCCTCCCCCCCCCCCATCCCGCCCCGACCGCCCGGCGGCCCGAGGGAGCGGCACCGGGCACCGCAGGGCACCGCGGGCGGCCGCCTGCCCCCGGCCCGCCTCGGCCCCGCCTCGCCCAAGGTGACCCCGCTGCCGCCCCCGGTGCGGTTACGGGGCTCGGCGTCGCACCCCCGGCAGCGTTGCGAAAGGGAGCGGGCTGCCGGGGAGGAGTTGTTGTTTTTTTGGCTTCTCCCTTTTGCCGCCGCTCGTGGCAGAAATAGCTCCGGCTACGCTTTTTCGAATGGTATTGTGACTTTCGAGTCGGTGATGGCTCTCTAAATAGATGTATTGGAGCGTTTCTGCGGTGGAAGGAAATGCTTATCAAAAGGAAGGCTCTAGCTTGTTGTGCCTTGCAGTGGGGAGAGCGGAGAGCCGGCGTGGTAATCCTGTGGCTCACAAGCCGTGTGTATTCTACTAGGACAATTTAGGTGATACCCAGCCCCTTCTGGCAGCGTTCCTGCCCCAGGGCTGCAGGCTGCCCCCACTGTGCTGGCGGCAGCTGTCCCAGCTACCATCTTCCTATCAACATTCCCTCTTGACACCCTGGGCCACCTCCCTGCACCCCACACCTCCTCTCTCAGCCTAACACTGAATGACCTTACCCTTTGCGGGACAGTGCTTGACATGCACACACCAGTGTGCAATCAAACCAAACCAGGTAACTCTGGAAACCAATTTCAGGTCTCCCGAGGCTGTACAGTACATTTATGTACACTACATAAACACCAGACAGATCAAGCCAGCATGAAGCTCTACCTTGACAGGTACAAACTGCCTGGACTACCTGGTTGCAAGGTTCCGGGAACACTTACCTGAATTATCCTGATGTTTTGTACATTGAAGACCCACCAATGAACCCTTCAGTTAAGGGATTTTCTCCTACATTTTCACCTTTTCATTTTCATTATCCTGATCTGTGTGATGCTGCTTGCTTCACCTGAGTATCTGTGTTTTTATGATTAAAGAAGCAGTCTCTGAGGAAGCCGGGTCTTTATTGGTTTGAAGAACAGAAACAAGACAAACATGGTGAGGAAATAACCTGCAAACCATTGGGGGCAGTGATGCCACTACTGTTGAGGAGGACTGCCACATTTTGCTACAGCTGGAATCTCTTAATTCTTTAGGCACCTCACCTAGAGGTTCAGGGAGTTCCTGGTAATTCATTCTGGCAGGGAAGAGGAAGTAGATTGCAATGGCCAGATCTGCACGACCAAGAGTTAGGCTTGGGAAAAGAAAAGGGTACTTTTGCAATCAACCATCATGATGACTCAGACAATGACAAAAAATCCAAAACAAAACAAAACGTGAGGCACTGTTAACATTTAGATAGATGAGCGTCCGATGATATTGTCACAGATAAAGATGTTACCCCGGTTTTAAACATTTTCCCCACTCCAGCCATCATCATTTTCATCTCAGCCAGATTGAATCTGAGTCAGCTGATTTTCATCCAGGTGCTGACAGGCATTTTGATATCCTTGAGAAGACAGCAGCAGCACTGCTAACAAATGAGATACGCTGCAGCATCTTTAACATATTCTTGGCATTAGAGCTTATCCCTCCACTAGCAAATTACGCTGCATAGGCTCCATATGTGAGGATCCACCAAGGTCCAATAGCCATTATTACCCTCTGGGATTTGCTGGACAAGGATTGGCTGGTCAGAGCACATCTTTCAGCAAAATCCTATATAGGCACACAGAGCGCGCACATATACATGCGGCAATGCATTATGCTAGTTCTCAAATAAGCACATGCCCAGAATACACATGCAGCACTGATACATTTGCATAAATGTTTACACCCAAGCACTCTCATAATCAAAAACATAACATATAACACATCAACACTGCTGTGAAACATTAAATGAACCACTTCCACGATTACGTGTCTAAATGAAGATATACAGACTCAGAGCTGGACATTCTCATTCACTCTGCACACACAACTGATACTATCTTAATAGGTTAATATTAATGAATTAATTGCACAACTTATCAATGTTTTGTTGTAGTATACACGTGTATATATAGTTAGCATTCAAAGCATTGACTCTAATTCTAGCCCTTAGCCCTAATTCTCAGTCTGCCTTACTTAACTTCCTTATATAAAATCCTTTGATGCCGAAGTGCCTCATGTCACCGCTCACACAGGAGTAATCTCTTCTTTAAGTTTCTTTCAACACAATTGGTTAAACAATGAAATCATGCAAATATGAAAACTGCTCTGTTCATATGTTAGAATAACTCAGTAATGGCACAATCTAAAAATTTTAGATTTCATTTGTTTTGCTGATTTGTGTAAGATTAAAAAAAAAAAAAAAAAAAAAAAAAGCTATGCTGCAAGAAGTTCAGCCCAGCAGTTTTAGAGCTATACACATTTAATGATGTAGTTTCAGTGACTTACAGTGGATTTTAATCCATTTTTCTACATATTCGTTGGGTACTATTGATTAGGAATATCCTACGAAGACCAATCTTTTTCCCTGATAAAGCCTAAAGCTCTGTAGAAGATGTATAGTTCCCTAATGAAACTTGGAAATTCAACTCTACGTAAACTCAGAACTAAAAGTGAGAGGGTCATTTCAGGACAGGGAAGATAAATTTCTGGTAGATAGGAGGCTCTCACATGTGCTTTTAATGGAAATCACTTTTTCATACAGTAATTACTTCTGGAGCCACATTTCATTTCACTCAGTAATCACACCAATTTCTAGATGAGATAGCAGCATTGCTGCAGCAACTACAACAGTTGATTTCAATACGGATTTGAAACAAATCACTACATTTAAAGCATTACACAACTTAACTTGTTTCCCTTACATGTAAGGTGGGCCAGCATTGCAAGGGATTGGCATATGGAATCTGATAGCTTTGTACATTCATACTGGTAATTCTTACTCTGAGGATATGGGCTCTGCTCAAGTAACGGATATGCACCTGCCTATGTTGGTATTCTCTTGATGTGGCTTTAGGATTGCAGCAGTACTTGTAAATTGCATGGCTTGAACACCCGTCTTTGACCGCTTTTCCCTAAATCCCACATTCCTGCATCTCTGAATGCCACTGCCAGCCTCCTTCTCTACTCCTAAACAGACTGATATATTCGGCATTTAACTCTTTGTTTTCCTTTCATGTTGTTCCAGACTACTGGCACGTTCCCTGCTGCCAGCTAGCCCAGTGTGGGATGTTTTTCTAGCAGGTTGTTGAAGTGTCAAGAAGCATGTGTATCTCTTGGTGAATACAGAAGCTATTTTCCAAATTTTACAGCTCCTGACCCAGAAACAGGAATATTCATTGCTGCAGCATAATTTCAGACGTGCCAAGAAAATATCAACTATGTCATGTAGATATGCTAGGGGAAAGGATGAAAGCTCAAGTACAGCAATTTCCACTGCTCCATGCAGTAGCTGTACAGAGTGATACAGTACATCATTGTGCAGGTAAGACCAAATCCATTGATGCCCAACTCATTGCTACTGAGACCCACCCTCACAGAGAAGACCAAAAGAAAGGTCTTACACTGTGTTTCTACAATATCTGAAATTACCATCCCCTGAATCCAAATGAAACCAGAGCAACTTGGTACAACAACTTGCTCTATCAAATGCCCTGAAAAATGCTCATTAATGCACTCTGTGAGTCCAGGAGGAATCTGGAGCCTCAGGAAAGCATACTGCCCACGTGTGACAGTTGCAATTTTGTAAGACATTTTAGGTCAAAGTGGGAGGCTTTTTCATTAAGAATAACTTGAGGTTCCTTCAGTGTGACTAGGTACACTTAAAGGAAGATGCTCCAAAGGAATTTTACACTTGAAGTCAACACTTTGCCACTTCCATCCTTCCCTTCTTGGTGCTAGACATTTCCCAGGATAGCCACTGGTCAGAGAAATTATTTAAACATAGAAGCAAAGGGTTTATATATTTTCTTACTGCTTTTAGCTATACCTATTTCACAACAAACCTCTCAAGAGTCATAAAGTTGTAAGGTGGTGATTTATTTCCTTTTCCCTGGTGTTTTAAATATAGATTAAAAAAGGTAAATTTGAGCTGTGCTTCTGCCTTCCTTTAGTATCGCCTCTTGACAAGATAACATTTGTCAGTTTTACTATGGATAGTAGATATATTCATTCATTGGAGGTACTAGGTGCTGTCTTGTGATCAATGTCCTGCTGATTAGACATGTTTTTTTGCAGAGATAAATTACAGACGTCCTTAATGGGTAAGTCCATCTGCTCAATTTTTGCCCTTTATCTTATATGATCATTTGGGAGAAGAGGCGTAGTCTCTCACTATCAGTCAAACAACACTTCTTTCAGTTGCTTATTACTGTTCTGCAGATTCTTCCATGTTTGTAAAAGACACTGCCTGCACATTTGTGATTCAGAATGAATTACTAATAACTGTTAAGGAAAATTCACTGACTGACTTCTATAACTGACTGTGTTCCTTTTGTGTATCCTGCTGCCATCAGGCTCATTTTAAAAGTTTCCTTATCCACATCAAGAGAAGTCCTTTACATTTTGAATCCAAACATGTCCAAACATTTTGAATCCATGATAGATTGCCTAGCCAAGAAAAGCAAGATAGTAAAAAAAAATAATCTTGATTTGCTTCACTCTGAACAGTTGATTGTGTACAAAATATAAGAGTAGAGAAGAACACTGAAGAAATTAATCGTATGCTTTGTTCTTGCACTTTAAGTAGTTCAGCAACATATTTGGTTTGCAGTACACGAACTATAGCAAGAACAAAACTTAAATAAAAATGAATGGTATAGTTGTCTAACATAGTTCCAGTCTAGTCACAAAGTCTAAATAACTTTGAGTACACAATGAGTATTTCTATTCAAAATGTGTAGGTGTTTAGTAAACTATATATTAAAACATTTTCGGTGCACTTGAATCTTCATTATTTGTATGCTTACTGTAATTTAGAGGTGATCAATATTATACTAATGTTTGTTCTTACTGTATATTGAGACTCTGGATCACTTTTCTTTTGCAGAATAAAAAAATAAAACGAAAATAGTAGTGTTATTAAATTCCTCTTTTAGGCCTTTTCTACGGAGATCTCCAAGTTAATTACACTTGTTAATTTAAAGTACACTAAGCTACATTGAATGCCTCTGTACATATTTTTATTCAGAATTAAAAATGACCTTAATTCAATTTAGTTTAACTTACTTTAGAAGTGAAATAGGCTACCTTAAATGAAGGTCACTTTAATCCTAACTAAAAGAGTTCACACAAAGAGTTTATGAGGCTTGACTATTGCATCCAAAAATATTAATTTAGATTATTTCACAGTATCACCACGCAGAGAATCCCCCATTCTAGTTTACAAGCTTATTTTTCACTTTCTAAGAGGTATTCTGATAATTTTGTTTAGATGACAGAAGGGAAAATACATTAGAATCATGCCCAAATGGAGTGGATGTCAAGAAAAAAATAGTATTACTAAATACTAGAGCACAAGAAAACTATTTATTTATTTATTTATTTAGAATACATCTCTTACCTGCTTTTCCTTTTCTTCTTGATGTCCTGTCATCACACAGTGGTGTCACGCTGTGTCATCTCTTGGTATGAAGACTTATAACAAAAAACACCAGTTTTTGAGCTTGTTATCACCACTTGATTTCTTTTAACTGCTAGAATGAGTTAGAAGGAAAAAAATCTGGTCAGAACTCTAGTGCAGATATCTTTGTGTATTGTATATCAAAGACATTGACTTCAGTCTGATCATAGTTATATGATGTAAGAAGAGTCTTCTAAGAAAGAACTTCTTTTACTTAGCATTACAGAAGCAGACTTAAAAAATTATTTGTATTCATCTCACAAACAGTGTCACCTAATTAACAAAAAAATACATAAGCATGGCTTTTAAGATATGCTTTCACCTTCAGAGCTTACATAGCTAAGTAAAAATTTGAATAGAGTCAGTGCAGACTGGCATTAATAGAACAGAAAGCAAAATATATTCAAAGTATACTTTACTGAAATGCTCCTGATAAGTAGAAAGCCCAAAACAAATTCTTCTGTTGTCCAGTGTGTTCAGTGATTTTTCTGTAGCCAAGGTGCTCTAAAGAGAGCCTCTTTATTTCACGATACAGTTTCAAATGCTTCTGTTTGACAGAGCATATATGTCTGCAGAACTTCTAAGACTAGAAAAATTATGCCTCTTTGAAAATACTAAACAATTCCTAGCATCACATATACCTTTCCCAACAAGTTTAATAAAAACTCTTAAACAATTTGAATATCACACAGAATTCCTTATGCTTATAAACAAAGTATTATCAATATCATTAACATTTAGCTGACCTTAGAGATATTCATATCATGGCTTATATCTGCTTGAAATATCAGTGATACTTCTGCTGGAGGCAGAAAATTCACATTTTCATTAAGTGCTAGGTCCCAAAATTTGATCTTTCAACCCTTTTTTTTTTTGCTTCCAACCAAGTGATTATTTTTTTTTTCCAAGCAAAAAATGAGTCTTTGTCCTTTCTTTCCTCTCTTTTGGTATTTATAAAGTGTTTTTGTTTTCTGTTTGCCTTTTTTTTTTTTTTTTTTTTTTTTCAAAAATATATAAGATACGAAAACACCAACTTTGCTGCTCAGCAAATGCTAGTCCAACTTCAAAGTGTCACTAGCATTTGTGTTGATTTGCATCATATATTCTTACTGGATTGTATTCACTCCTTGCTGACAGCAGCTTCCAGTATCCCCATCACTTTAAATAGAGATGGGATCACTCAGCTTTGTTTATATTTTTGTAGCTATTCACATCCCAGTTCTTCTCAAATGTTACTGTTACCAGCTCTCTAGGTGTGTGGGTTTTGTTACTATTTCTCCATGAGATTGTTGGAAGTAACAACTGGCTTCTTTTGTATATACTCTGCAAATCTTGTTACTGCTTTAGTATTATAACATCATTGCAAACAACCCAATGAACTAGGAATAATAATAATTAGTAGTGACATAACTAAATCCAAGCTTCACTGTATTCTACTCAAGTGCCTGTCCTATAACTTGTGTCCCACAGTCATATATCACTACTGGGTAAAGAAGTATAGCTAAGAAGCTTTTTTTAATGCAGAATCAGCTCTTCAGCTGTAATATATTTAGTAGTGCTCTCTCAGAATAGAAAACCTGTGTAGGATAGTTCTCCTGGTTTATTATTTCTACCTAGAAGCAGATTTTTAAACAGAAACAATACATTTTCTGGGGAAACACAAACCCTGAATTTTACCTGTTTATCTTTCTCCAAGCAGTTGATTTTCTCAGAGGGTTATAACACAGGTCCTAGAAATAATGGGATATGTATTACATTCAATTAGATGTGCATAACTACTATTTGCTCTCATGGTTACATAATACTGTTGTTTCTTTTGGACACACCATCTTCTGCAAAGGGCCTTTGTTCATATGAGAATGATCATCTCAGCCAGAGGTGTTAACATGCAGTTTGCTCATGGTTCACCATCCTGGGGCTTGAAGAGTCTGACAAATTAATACAAGCTTTTGCTTAACTTTCAGCTTCTCCTATTTGCTTAATTTGTGTTGTTATTCCTTGTTTATGATTTCAAGCTCTGCATATTTTTTAAAATCTACCATCTTTGTCTTACAATATTTTGAGCCCTTGGTCACATCTAAGGTGCAGTCCAATGCTTTATTCAAGTACCATTTCCTTGGCACGTTCTAAATTGCCTCATCTGGTGTCTGCTTCTCCCAGCAATCTATTACTGTACTATTCCCTCTCCATTTTATTGCAAACCAGGAGCTAATTAGCTTTATAGAACTGGAAGGTTTTCTTAAATATAAAAATCTTCAGTAGTTCTTACCCTAAAACAGGCTAATGCCATGCTTATTATAATACCTTGTAACAGACAAAAATATACTGAGCTAAAATTTGTCACCCCAAATGTATAAACTACAAAATACTTTCAAACCTTCAGGTTCAAATATGTAACTTTCATATGCTTTCATTATTATTATTATTATTATTATTATTTAGAATATAATACTCCTCGTTTTTGTAACAGCTCTGTGACTATCCTGTTTTGCCTGGATTGCTGAAAACTGCTAAATATGCCAAATGCATCAGCACTTGCTATTTTCAGAAGGAAAACCTTCTGGTTGACTTGCTTTTAAATAACACCTAGTGCTTCCAGATGTACATTGGAGTGTTCTTTTATTCTTTTCCAGTAATTTCTGGTATTTCCAGAATTTGAGTCTTTAAATGCTCTGATTCCTTCAATGTCTTCCATTTCTTATTACTGACAGTGCCATAAATGAGGAGTTATTATAGGTTCAGATGATTACAGACATTCGTTGATCATGTGTGTCCATAGTGCCTTTTCCTCACACTTACAAGACAGAAATCTAAAACTCTAAAGGAATGTTTACACCAGTAACCTTTCATCATGAAAAATTATAAAGAAAATTATAGTATTGCATTTATAGGTGTGAATCGATTGAAAAGACTCATGCAATAAACAAACAGTAAAAGACACTTTCCATCTGAAAAAAGCAAAAAAAAACCAAAAAAAAAAAATAAAACAACAACAACAACACAAACAACAAAAACAAGCCAAGAAACAAACTTAGAAATTATTGAAGATCTATTTTTGGTTTGTATTTTTCCTTCTAGCTTTGTCAGACAAGTATCTATGGTGTTAGCCAAGAAGAACGTATTAATCCTCAACAACATAAAGTGGCTATTCCAAGTGGCTGTAATGCAAATACTGATGTAAAAGCTTTTCCCTCCCAACTCTAGAACCTAAGATGTCATTGGCAGAATGTGGTTTGATATCAAATGTTCTGTACTTTCGATAGTTGCATGACCAATCCTGCAAGAGAATGTTTTCAAGCATGTTCTTTTTATCTCAGAGATCTTTGACTTCTACTCACATTTAATCCAAGACAGATTTACAGATTTTCTTCAAACTCAATTTAACATCTAAAATGTTGAACTCATTTTCTAATAATAGTTGACATAAATATGTTGTTTATGGTGAAATGGTGAAACTTTTTAAAAATCCATGTTAAAAGATTATAAACGTGAAATACAGGTTTTTCACAGGGATGTGAAAGTTTTTTTTTTGTTGTTGTTGTTGTCTTTTTTTTTATTATTATTGGTATTAGGTACTACTACTACCACCATTCTGATTGTCACATTTGCATGGAAGATCTCCTTTCATTCCATTTTGCACAAAGGGCAGATCTATTCCAAAGTAATATATGAATCAATAAATGTCTACATATAGAAATTAACTTACAGCACTGGAAACCAAAGAAATGCTTGAATTACTTTTAAATAATTTCTGGCAAAGACAACTGAGGTCTAATAGAGAATGTATAACCGTACAGATACCTGACCCTGTTAGAGATAATGTTGACACTTTTTTATGTTATGGCCAAATGCAATATTTTAACTTGGGGTGATGCAATTTTGTGTGGGTTACTTAAAACAGATACCTTTGAATATCCTCTGTATCTTTCCTCAAAGATCTAAGAAGTGTCCTTTTCCTAATGCTAAAGACTTCAAGAGCTTTTAAAGAAGCCTTTAAATACGCTAATGCATCTTCTCACTCTGCCTTTATTCATTTTTTATCCCTTTTTGTCTCCCTTCCTCTCCTTTCCTATTCCATTCAGTTTACTTACTTTTTTTCCACTCTGTTGTACTGCAAATTTACTTACAAAGTAGTTATTTTTTAATAGTTGAAAGCTAATGAAATTCAGCAACACACTTGGATGATGGTTAGCATCCCCTGCTTCGTCCAAATAACGGGGACATTAGATCTCGTTTTCACTGATAGATTTGAACATAAATACGCATGCATGTCTAAATGAGTTGGGGCCCTACCTGGTCATTATTAAAAAGGCAAACCACAGTTGAGATTTCTAATCCCTTAAGTGCACACACAGAGGCAAAGACCATAAAAGCCTTTGTTGAAGATAGAAGTATTTTTCCTGAAAGTCTAAAAGAAAGCCCTACTTCATACTCAAAAGAAGCTTTGTCATCAGTGGCATCAGGATATTATCTGTAGTACTAGGCCTGGGTTATTCTATTTTTGCAGCTGTTCCTTCTTATAAAGCATCTTATAGAAAATACTTTGCTTACATGCTGCCATAACATTCCACCAATGTATTGCAGGAAAAGGAGCATAATTAGCCATATTTGTTCCATCAAGGTTCCATAGGACAGAATCTGATTGGGTAAAAAAGACATTAACAAGTAATAGGTAAGTAATTTATTCCTATAGGTAATTTATTCCTAGGTAAGTAATTTATTCCTATAATTTCTTAGGTACGCTAATTATGATAAATACAGGTTACTTCATCCTTCATTTAAAAGTACTTGCTTAATGGAAGATAGGGGAGGGATATTTCTTTTCTAATCTGCTACCTGTTTGAAGGGGGAGCTAAATGTTTTAAATAATGATCCTCTTACATACAAATAATACAATCAGTGCCAATACTTATCGGTTACGCAGTGCTTTTTCATCCATAAGTCTGAGGTTGAAACAGACAAATGATGTCAAGGGCTTCTGGAAGTTCCAGTGCTGTTAGAGTGTGGCAGTCCCCTGGCAGCTGGGATTTCTAGGGAGGGGAGGAGAGAAAGGCTGGAGGAAGCATGGGGAAAGCAGCAGAACCCCTTGTGAAGGGCATCTTAACCCTGCTCCAAGAGAGGAGAACATTGTAACCATAGTAAAGGAATAAAATAGTGCAGAACAGAAGAGGTTTTGAAAACAGTAAAGGGAGAAAGTATAGAAGCCAGAAGAATTACAGCACACACATGCAGAAAAAACAGAGAACACAAAACAGGTAAAATCGTTACAGAGAAGAACTTTTAGAACTTGCCTCATTCAACAGGAAAACATACTACAGTCATTTAAGACATGAAATTGCAGGGGAGACAATATGTTCAGCTTGGGAAGAAAGAGTGCTGCTTATGGCTGGGAGAGCCTGTGCTTTTGTTACGATCTCAGCAATGTGTGAGCAGTCCAGGTTTGTCCTTGGCTGTGCGGCTGTTCTGTGCACAGAGCTTTCTAGTCACTTTCCAACAGTTCCAAGTAAAATAAATTGCAGACCTTTGGTCTGAACAAACTATTTTAATGTATGTTTGGACATTCAAAATGATGTCCTAACTTTGAGTAGGGCCTTCATTTTCTGTCCTAGTTGATACAACAAGTCATAACCACTCAATGAAATCACTACTGCTTCTTGGACAAATCAGTCCTCCTATTTCATGGGATTTTTCCTATAAAATAAGGAAATTTAAAGTACATTAATATTATCTATTGTATTCATAGAATGGTTCAGATTGGAAGGGACCTTAAAGATCATCCAGTTCCAACCCCTCTGCCATGGGCAGGGAAAAAAAGTCACAGAAGTATGTTCTCCCATCTGAGCCAAACCCAAACTTTGTTATGATTATGTAAAGTATGGTTGTAGCAGTCTTGCTGCTTTTCTACAGAAAGCAGTTGTGAATGAATTCAAATATGCTCCTATATCAGGCTGGGCATTTCTGCATAAGCAGGGCACTCTGAAGTTCATTGTCTTTCTGTGATTTGGATACTATAGCACAAACAGGATAGGCCCCTTTAAACATCTCTGGTTTATCTGGTTGCTTAGGACAACCCCTGTAAACATCAGAAAAAAAAAAAAAGCTGGGGACCTTGAGGAAAAAAATAGGTCATTTTGGAACAGCCAAACTCTGTATCTGTACCTGTATGAGGAGATAGTCTCTGCAGAAACATATTGCACACTTCTCTTGGAACATTTTATACTTCTACAGTCTATACTTGTTTTATTTTCTGATATATAGAAAAATATTTTCTGACAGCTTTCCTTCTCATTTTCTACATTGCTTGTAATATATATAAGTATTAAATCAGTAAATATGTGTATAACGAAATGAGATTATAACAAAGAATACTTACTATACAGAAATGACAACTCTGCTAATCATTTTAATTTGACAATGTGGTTTTATTTTTAAGGTAGCAGCTTTAGAAAGGTTAAGAGCATGTCAGAAAGCTAATTAAAAATAGTTCTGGGAAAATTAAAGAGTTACTCTTTCCAATATTGCTATATCTAATAAATAGATGGATTAAGTATCAGCTAGATGGTAGGTATTTCAAAGCTTACTCTTACTGGTAGGAATTTATGCTGTTTCAACCTTACACACAGTTCCATATAGTTAAATAAAACCAGCTTGACAATTGTGTCCCTGATATTTTGGTACTCAAGTGTTTTTTTTTGTTTTTTTTTTCCTCTTCAGATAACACTTTAGAAGTGAGATTAAAGGCTTTTCTAGTTTGTGTCCTCTCCTGGCCATATTTCACTACAAAGAGTTGCTTCAGAAAATTATTAGTATTACTGTCCTACAGTATTACACTTCTATTCTGGATTTAAAGTGTAGTATTCTTTCAATATATGTACCCCTGTCATTGTTGTCTGTGAGGGATAGATAGACAAGTGAGCTTGAACATGAATATACATGAACAGCACATTAATTTTGAACTCTATATTATGCCTGTAATTAAGAAAGAAATCTCCACTTACTTCTTGTGAACGTTGTAGCTCTCTAACTTCTACTTAGTATAAAAATACACCCCAAACTAGCTTATGGAAAATCCATGACAGTGTCATTATCTCATATATAAAGCCTATGTTTTTGTGGTTAGATAACAAAGAGTCTTCAGGAATACAGTTATTAAGGTAACTGAGCCTCACAAACGAAATATTAAGTAAGAGTTTTTGATTAAATCTTGTCAATGTCACTTTTCATTTTTCTGAGAGAGAAGAAAGAAATTAAAGAATTTCTTGTTCAAGTAATCCAAGTTCATATTGTCTTAAGTTTCTGGTAGTCTTTAAATGAGGACAAAATAAGAATAAATGTAAGTGAGAAAAAAAGAGCAAAACAATTTAAATCTCCCACAGTTGTCAGAGCTTTGAATGGTAGAAATCTTATCAAGTTTCCATCATCCTGCTAATCTTGGTGTGCTTTTTATAAAGCAAAGTTATCCTGAGTCAACATTTCTCTTCCACCTACTTTATTGCAATAGACATTTAGTCTGCTATAGAAGTAGGATGGGACATGGAGAGTAGCAAACCCACAGTCTGCCACCACCTGCTTCAAATTATCAGCTGAAAGAATTTTTCCTTTTTAAGTAGAAACACAGTCCTTTAAAGGACTTAAGACTGTTATTAAGTTGTCTTTTTTACATTCAAATCCTATTCATTTTAAAAGAATAAAGCATTTTTCATAATGATGCAAGTTCCCCCCCCCCCCCCCCAAGGAAATCCACATTAAACACAATAAAATGATTTCATAGCATACTGTTCCACAAGTCCTCAGTTTATATATCTCAGTTTATTGTATAACCTCTGTTAATAAATCATTTTAGTGAGTATTTTACTAAAGGTAAATTCAAAGCTTCTAAAAGTAATAGGACAACTTCTAAAACTAATAGGACAAAACCAAGTAAACATTGTTCAGCTTATAGGAAATATTACCTATGCCTATGAGTTGATCCCTATGCTGTTTACCTTCCTAGAACCAGAAGTTTTCATTAGAAATATCAAGCAAAATTCAATGGAAAAGATTAAGCAAACAATATTGTATTGTTATATAGTGAGATTACCTCTGTTCAACAGATCAACTTAAATTTCACATACCCATCCACACAAAAATAGATTGAACTCATATAAGACATAAAATACAAAAGCACATTAAAAATTAAAAAAGGTAACATAAAATGAAAAATTTTACACACAGAGCTTCAAAGGAAAAATACCCCCCCCCCCCCCCCCAAGTCCCTCTTATTCTGAAAAGCTATTATATCAGGCTACAGAGGGCACTAATAAACCTTAGTGGCTCTGATCAACCCCACCTGGAGGCTCCCCCACACCCTCCAGAGCTCTATTTAAGTTCTGCCCTGAGCCCTCACCTCCTTTGGCTTGACTTTTTCTTAGCTTGGCTTTGTACCTGTCTCATCAGCATGATATTGTCCTATAATATGGGCTCTTGATTGGTTCCAGTTGTTGTCTCAGGTTTGTTCTGCTTATGTTGCTAAGGTAATGTAAAATGGGGTCCTGAGGTTCTTGTTCTGTGGCAGGGGATCTCTCTTAGCTTCTGTTCCCATAATGAGCAGTCATACTCTTGCTGCCCCCTAGTATGTTGTATTTCTGTAATATAAATTTAAACTTTGTTAAGCTCATGTAATTTACAGAAAACTTAGAGCGCTGCCCACAGCACAGATGCAGTGAGTGCTTTCACTCAGTGCTGTTTCTTGCATGCAGAGCTGTCCCATGTAAACAGATAATGGTTCTGTTTTACTTTGTAACACAAATTTAGTGCTGGTAGGGCTTTACCACATCTTGCTAAAGAGGGTACTATGTTTCTAGTCTTAACTGTTCCTATAAATGCAGGTTGCTAGACCTTGACCCCAGTACACTACCTTCTATTCTTTTGTTCAAAAATACTTTGCTGCTTTTATTACCTCTATGTCCTCTGCTGCTAATTTGAATGGGTGAGAGGCAGTGCATGATGAGTCCAAGGAGCCCACCTGGCCAGGCTAAGAGGTATTCGAGGAAACCAAATTGCAGTGCAGAAGCATCTGAGCTTCTGACCCTGTGCATAAATAAGCTCTGCCAAATCAGAGTTCAGTATGTGTAGTTTAGATGGCTTTGCATTGTGCAGCACAGTGCACCTTATGCTATGGACATTAGAAAAAAATTTTCATTGTTCATGAAACTTCTCCATCTTACTACACCAGGTAAGGTAGTATTGATCCTGCTGTCACTTCACTGTGCTGCTTTCTTTTAAACCTAGTAAGGAAATGACTTTGAGTACAGAAATGCGTTATCCCCTTTTCCATGTGGTGCATGACTACAGACACATCTAATGCTCTCTTTAGTGAGAGGACAATAGTATTTATATAGGTGAAAAAAACATATACCAGTAAATGCTTAAAAGGATTCTATAGTCCTGTCATAGTCTTTAGAAGATGCTTGTCATGGTTGCAAAATTTTACAGCTGGGAAAAGCATTTTGCTTTTATTTAACAACCCCCAAACTGATTTATTCGTGCAGCTAGAAACTGCTTTGAGGTACAATGGTAGACCCATGAAAAGAGGTCTTTGTATCATCCAGGATTTCCAAAATCTTAACTTCAGAGGATTTTTTTTTGTGTGGAAACAGTGAAGAACAAACATGTTTCAATGGTGCATATTAATGAAATTCACGCTTCAGATGAATATTCTGCCTACAGCTATATTACATTTAAATATCAACACGTAAATACACTTTAAATACCAATATCAATATTTAAATATCAATAGCCCTTTTATGGGAAAACAATATATTTATGTGGTATAGGATTCTTTGGTGTTTAGTTCACGTGAGAACTTGTCTCTGGACCTGCAAATTCTGAAAAAGGTAGATACTGCTGTCAATACTCTGTGGAATGTAAATTGTGGAGATACTGCTTATAAAGTAAAATTGTGATTTTCAACTATTAAGAAACATGACAAGGATATAAATTCTCTGCTAATTTTTGTAACACTGTCTATGACATCTAATCTGTTGAGCACATGAATGGGATCTGGGAGGACCTGTGTACTTTGTCCTGCCAGAAACTCCAAAGGTCATGTTGCAAGCAAAGCATGAAGTAAATTCACTAAATGCTGAAAACAGATTTTCTCAACCTTGTACGTATTTCAGATCACTATCTACTGTGTGGCTTGCAACATAACGTCATTGCTGACATGACATTGAACCAATAGCACTGGGGGGGGGAAAATTTGAATCTGTATTTTAATGGAGATGCATATTTACCTGCTAGCATTGAGAGTAATGATTGTACAGGATTGTCAAGTGAATGAAAGACTGTCCTGCCTAGGACAAAGGTGTATCAACCTTTCCATACAAACTTTAATACTGTATGTAAAAGGATTTATTTCTCTTCACAACCCAAAATTAAATTAACAGGGTATCAAGAGACCTTAATAATGAAAATAACTGCACAGTTTGATATGTCCATAACTGAAAGGAAAGACCTAGAACCTCTCTAGGTCAAAAAGCTTAGATATCAACTTAGATACCAATTATCTTTACTAAAAATTAAGGTGGTAGAAATGCAATGTCACACGAAGCAGTTGTCACATTGCAATACACCAAAGTAACGAACTGATCCCTTTGGACACAATTTCAATGAACACCTATGAAACAACTTTCAGCTACACTTGGTAGGATGCTGATTGTTTGAAAAGAGGCTGAGAACTTTTTATACTATGGAAGGGCACACTAACCACAAACCACATGCAAAATACCACAGGTTTATTGTTACAGATTTTTTTCTCCATTTCCATTTTTCTTCCCAGTGATTCCTGACCATACTGCTTAGTAATGGTTTATTCCCAACGTCCAACTGAGAAGGATAAGCTGCTCACACATCTACTTGGGCCTGCAGGCCAGCAGTGACATAGACAGCCTATGATAGTATTGTATGATCTTATCCTAGTTTGTGAATATTTATGGAAACTATCTCCTGGATTACCACATCAGTTTGGTTGACCAACAGATATAATTTCTCATTTTCTTTCAATATACCTCATTTTGTTTTACAACTTCCATGCAGTGGAAATTTTTCACTGGTTGATGGCTGTTCAGTATAAAGAAATGTCTTTCCAAACCGCTTAAGTTCCGAGACTCCCTTTTTCTTAGGGCAGACAACAGATGGGAATTTGACAAGATTACTTGAAAAAGTACCTCCAAGCTTTGATTACTAAACAGATAAAGACACCCTGAAATAATATTTTGCGTGGCTAAAAATAAAGAGCTCGTGTCTTAAAGCCATTCAAAACCATGCCTGAACTGAAGGGGCCCCATTAAGTTTGTGTAATTGACTGCAGTCTGCGGATGCCCTTGGTACTATGGTATCTGCTTCCATCAGTACTGAATTTTACCCAGAGCGTGTCTGGAGTGATGAGGACTATAAAAAGTTATTGTATGAAATACTGTGTTATGTCAATATTATACTGCTACAGCTTGTAAAGTTGCCTTGATCTGTATAATAAAAGATGTTTACAGTGGCAATGAACTCAATCAGACACATGGCACATGTTTGGTGATGTATGGCTTAAAAAGCTGTCTTGCTAGCATTTGATTTCTAGGAGATAATCCCAGGCAGCACTCTGAAGATTAGAGCGATGGGAGATAAGAAGCTGTGATGGGCTGGCAGTGTCTGCCTGAACGCCATGCCCTATTAGCAGGAGTTGGTGCTGCTGGGAAATTGTTGTGTGGATTTTAACACAAAGCAGATGGCTTATCTAAAATAAATGGGTGCTGCTCTTCAAAGCCAAGAATATGAATGGGCTGAAGAGTCTTGTAGACAGAATTCTAAGGCAATATAAAGTGTAGGATGAGAGCTTGAGCTGAACCTTGTTTTTTGATCGATAATGCTATTTGAAGTCAGACTCCAGGACAGAGGAGATTTTTGACTGAGCAGATTGTTTGGATATAGTTTTATAGCAAGCTAGAAAATGCACCTGTTCAGAAAAGCATAATTAACTACTTAATGTATTCAGAGAGGAATGTTGTGCAAACAGAAGAAAACACTTGGAATTACTAAATTTCTTATTATACATCCACATACTGATTTGTTTCAAAGCTATTGAACTTCATGATTGTTATCTCAAATGGCTTGAAACTCTGGCTTTCTGGTATTCCACAGCACAAACAACTGCACGAAGATGAAACCTGGTCCAACTGCCAAGGCAAAATGCAATGTCAAGTTTTTGGGACCGTATCAGATTGTGCATCCCACTGCACCTCCATAAGGTGGTGATTGAGTGGATAGGAGAAATGTGTTCATTTGAAAGACTACTTTGTTGCTATTCAAACACGAGTAGTTTTTGAAGTACTTTATCCCCTGTGTAATTTGAAGAAATATTTACTGACTTTGACATGGCTTACAAATATTCAGCATTACAGTGCAGAAAATTATTCAGGGAGTAAGTTACCAGTAACCAGAAAGGCAAAATAGGAATGGTGTTCAAATAGTCTTCTCCTAAAAAATAGGACTAGTCTGATTGCCTCACTCATTCCTCTACTGTAACACTTTAAGGTCATAAAAGTACCCACTATTCCTGCGTGTAATTGTAGAAAAATAATTTTAATAGAAATAGGTAGATTTCTGATAGCACATTCATTCATGGTCTCTAGGTTTTTTCTGTCTTTATCTGTTTCTTTGTGAAATTCATCAGATGATCTTCATGCCCTAAAAGATATTTCTTTCTGTTAGTTCTGTTTACAACAATCATCTAGGCACATGTTATATTGAGGGCATCAATGTTCAGACTGGCTCAATATTCAAACTAAAACTCAATTTAATGTTCCTAATCAAGCATCTGTGTATTTAATACCCAGTTGCAATTTCTTACTAAATTGTTAGTTCTAACACTTTAACTTGGAGGTAGTGAGTACCACTTACTTTGAGTTATTCAAAATGCAGATCACATTAAAAAAAAATCTGATCTGCTTCTGGGAAACAACAGCTAAAAGCACCTTTTGGAAGAGATTAATGCCTGTTGCCTCTCAGTAATGGAGATGAGAAAAAGCATTTGTGTGGTCAGACTCCAGCCTTTGCTGGGAGCTGTGTCACAGACTGTGATTTCCCAGCTGAGACCAGCATCCATTTGTAGCAGTCGTCCTCGGCAGAGCAGAAGCATTAGCTGTACCTTGGAAGTGAGGCTGCCGGAAAATGTCTCCTGGGAGCAGAGCAGGGAGGGGGCACAGTGATATTTTCAGGCTCTAGTTTTGCCTGGGAAGTATAAACCAACAGCTGGGTACAATCTCTCATCAGGACCTGCTTACGTAACATGCTTCAGCTCAGCATGGGGGCACACCTCAGGCTTTGGGGTTTGGGTTTAGGGTACAGAACAGGGACATACAGCTTAAAACAAATACAGGATCTAATGCGGGCCCACAGCAAGCTCTGACCTGGAGATTACATGCAATGTATGTCAACCTTTTAAATCATTTTATCAGGAAGAAAATCAGACCTTTCCCTACAAGCATCCTGTAGCACAGCTGTGAGAAAAATGAAGAATGCTTACGTGGGGACAGACCTGGATCATATTGCCTCTGCTTTGGCATGTGATTTTTCATTAACATTTAGGTCTGTTCCTATGAACACTAACCTACATAAACTAGCACATGAACTTCAATGAGACTACGTATTTGTGGACAAAGATTTTACCTCTGCTTCTATTTTTTGACAAGCGTAACCAAAGTTTGAGCAGTAAAGAAACGGTAATTCCTGTGTATCTGTAAAAAACACAATGTAAACTGTAAGGAAAACCAATTAAAAATGCCTGTGAAGTATGGATTTCTTCAGATTTACGGGCTATGCATCTGTACTGCACAGGAAAAGTCTCCCATCTCTCTTGTTTGCCCTGAAGGATTCCTCGTGTTGCTTTCTGTCCTTAGCAGCCAGCCTGGTGTTTGCAAGACCCCCCAGCCTGTTCCTGTTATGCTAGCAGCTTACCTTGCAGGGTGTTAAAGCAGGAGGAAAAAAAATACTGCTGACAGACTCACAAGTACCTTTTCAACCAACTTTATGTGCTCCGCATTATTTTATCAGGTTTCAAATTGTCATCTTTCTTCGTTGCTGGGCATTAAAAATATTAAAAATCTTTATTTGATGAGCGTTTCTTCTTTTTGTTTTCTAATTTTCTCCTGAGCCATTTATGTCATTAGGTCACGCGCCTTATGCTAGGATGCAAAACATTGTAGAAAAAGCCCGAAAGGGCTCTCTCGGAGTTGCCTACAGCACGCAGAGATTAAAACACTGGTTGTAAAACCAAACGGGAAGGGGAAAAATAAAAAATAATTAAAAAAGAAAATTGACGGAAATCAGCACAGATCCAGGAATTGCAGCGGCGGCCCGAGCTGTCGCCCGCGGTGCCGTCAGCACCCGGAGCCTCCTCCAACGCCCCCCGGTCCCGGGGCAGGGCTCGGGAGCTCCCCAGCTGCCGGGGCCGGCCCCGGGGAGGGCCGAAGCGGGCGGTGAGGGCGGCTCTGAAGGCAGGGGCGGCCCCGGCCCCTCCTGAGGCGCGGTGGCTGCGTCCCGCTCGCGTTCCGGGGCAGGGACATGGCGTGGTCCGCTCCCATCGCCGGCCCCGGCGGGGGAGGCAGAGAGACACCGGCGGCTCCACGGGGCTGGCCTCGCTCTCAGTTCCACCTTACCCCGCTCCGGGTACGCCGTGCGGCTCGGTGCGGGCACGTCCCCGAGTGGGCGGGCTCGGTCTCCTCGGCTCCGCCCGGCCGGCCGCCGGCGGTGTCCCCCGCGCAGGGAATGGTTTGTCCCTGCCTCTCAGCCCTACGCTCCCGCTCCACCTCCCGCTAGTGCCCGGCTCGGCGGGCGGCGGAGCGGGTTGCGCTGCTCGGGGAGGGGGGCTCCGCCGCACCGCCCCTCACATCACCGCGCCGCCCGTGGGGCGCCCCCCGAGAGGAGCCCCCCGAGAGGAGCGCGGTGCCGGGGCCGCCCCGCCAGGTAACGGTGAGGGGAGCGGCGGGGCGCCTGCATCCCCCCCTCCGCCCGTGCCGCCCCTGCCGGCGGCCGCTTACCCGCCGCCTCTCCTCAGCCCCCTGCCCGGCGGCAGGCGGGGGGCTCCGCCGACAGCTGGGCTGCTGTCCCCGGGGAGAGGCGGCGGAGCGGGGCGGCTGCCCGCCGTGATTCAGCATCGCCGCCTGGGCGGGAGGATGAGGAAGAGGAGAAGGAGGGCGGTGGGGAAGGGGGGGGGGAGCGGGCGTCAGGGGTGAGAGCGTGGGGGGACCGGGGAGCGAGCGGCGGAGCGGGGGGTGTGCCCTCGGGGTTGGTGCTCTCGGGCTTTGCAGCCGCAGTCCGGCATCTCTAACGGGGGGCTGGCTGGCTGGGGCCAAATAGTACCGAATGGTACCGAAATCTGCCGGCAGAGGTGCCCGGTGGAGGCTGGATGTAGGGCAAGTTGGAGCTCTGGCCGTGTCAGTGTCCCCGTCCTGTGCTCGCTGCCGGCGGCTGAAGGTCCGCGCTGGGTCCGTGTCTGCGTTTGAAGCGCCACGGAGCTGTGAGCAAAGGGGGAGGCGGTTGGTGCTGCGTCTGAACGTGTTGCTGAGCTCAAAAACCGATGTAGCGTCTCTGATCATGCTTGTGCCTTGCTCATGTATTTGCGTTTTGATTACCGAAATCCAAATGTATTGCTTCTCAAAAATACCCAGAGCAGCCATGCAGCAAATAGCTGATCCGGTATTCCTTTCTGCCCCAGCACTTAACTGATTGTTCGCACCTGCAGGTGCTGCCTATCCAGCTACCACTCACAGAAATCTCACTGGCTGTTCTCACAACCGAAAGATGAGAAGTGCTTTTGTGTGCAGGAATTGGTTGTCACCCAATTTCTGTAACGTTATCTCAAAATCTACAGAGTGGTTTGGAGTCGGTAGTTTTTGCCCCCGTTTCAAGTACAAGGATGTAGTTTTTCAGCGTAGAAATCCTGTTTCCCAGAACAGAAAATACGAAAAGAATACCTATCAATATTACTTTGAACAAAGGTATGACAGAAACAGTTGTAGTGCCAGGGATTTTTCCTGTGTGGTGAGCAAACATACCGTCTATGCTAGTATAAGAAGCTATTAAGTTTGAAGCCAGCTTCTCTGAAGACAAATGCTGCAATGTCTCAGGAAATGATGTGAGCTGCCTGGGAATTCTTCCCTGAGGAAATAATGTTTTTTTTTTTTTTTTTTTTTTTTTTTTACCTGTAGGTATCAGTAATATTATGCAAGAAAGTCTAGACCACTGGTTGTCAGTTTTTTGCTTGGTTTTTTTTTTTTTTTTTTTTTTTGAAAGATGCCCCCTTTCTATATTTCTGATAGTTTGGGTACGTGCCACATACTTCCAAAGAGGTCTGCCCATCAATTTGGAAGTGTTAAAGAGGCCAGGAGATCAGGCCCATCAGCAGCTATTTGGTAATTATACTGGCAACTTAGGAACCATTTCAGCAGTCTGAGGCTCAGGTTTGCAATTAACTAATGGTTTGTTCCCTATCTCTTCTGAAGTGACCAGTGTTAAATGGGCAGTGTAGATTAGGTTGTGGACAAGTCTGAAGAACTGGGATGTGAATTGGTCAACAAGCAGTTGGACAATAAACCATCTTGAAATCTTTTTGTATAAATATGATTTATTCTAAGATCTTTTTTTCATGCTGTATGTTTATAATGAAAGCCATAAATATTTATTTTGAAAATTAAATGTGGCATACTTATGCTGCCTGCTGAAAGTGCCCGCTTTGAGCTGTCAGCACCAAGAAAGACTGAAGCATGATTTCTTGATTTAAATCATCTCCATCTGTGGGTATTTATTATATGGTTTAAAAATGTCTGCAGCACACATATGGCAAATGAGTCATTTTTTGTACTTCCATGCTTTCTAATGTTCTGTTTTTTCCTTTTTTTTTTTTTCTGTTATAATGTTGCATTGATTCTTTTACATGTATGCATTCATACAAATTAAGAATATGTTGTTAAAGGATGGAAATCCTTAGAAAAGCAAGAAAATTGAAATGAAATTTTGATGTCTGAAAAAGAGAAATTAATGATAACATTTCCCCAGCTACTTTGTATCTACTTGCATAAAACTTCTGTGTTGTTTTCAAAAATGAGTGTGACAACATGTTGCAATGTGAACCACTAATGTTTTTTGATTTTGTGCGTCAATTTCATTGGTGTAAAGAAAAACCATTGACATTAACAATGCGTATTTTCCATGTCTTCAAGTTTCTGCAGACCTGCAGAGCACTTGGAGAGTTATCATTGCCCTGAAGTATTGTGACTTTTGGGCCAATCATAAATCATAAAAGCACTAAAATCATATTGATAGGCTTTATATCAGTCCATGAAGAAAAAAAAATGAGTGTTTGTTCGTCTTTTACATTTTCCTGAGGTATTTCCATTATCCAGAGTTGACACAGAGACTCTATAATGGTCTGAGGGGGGAGGGATTAGTCTTTTCCCAAAAGAGGGCAAGAGTCTGTGTGTAGATAGTGGGAGTTCATTTTATTTGGAAAGATGCATACAAACTGTCAAAGTTAAAAATAAAATAAAATAAAATAAAAAATAATAGTAAATAAATTGTAAGTACCACAGCGTATTTTTCAGATGATATTGTCTGGATTTTGGTTTTCCCTTATGAACTTCAGAATATCTGGCAAGAGATTCACTTTTATTTTCCATACACTTTAGAAGTTAAATGGGGCTGTTTGACTTCCAGCAGTAGGATTTAAATTGGGCCTTATTAATTAGGAGGAAGCTCTTTAGAGCTCCATTAATACTCAACTAAAGCCTTGCCAGAATGGTAATTCACAGTTATTCCTTCTGCAGACATTATGAGCCACCTTTAAAGTTTACTGGAACCTTTTTTAATGTTAATATTTAAAATATTAATATATTTTTGATTTAGAGCTGAATTCATTGATCTTGACTATGCTGGTGGGTAAGAGAAGCATCTGTAACTGAGTGGATGTGGGAGAAAAAACCTGTGACATGCTGAAGTGGTCAACCTTTGTGTTGGTTGGATATTTGAGCAAATCTGCGTTCCACAGTAGTTACCCTTCTTATGACTGGAACCTTTTCAAGCCAAGGAGGCTTCATGCTGCCTTGCTCTATCAGATACTGTTTTTTGTGGCGGTAGTTGTAGGAATCCTCAGACTCTGTAGCACCTAAAGTATTTGATATTTTGCCTGTTCCCAAAGTTATTGCTTGCAAAAGAGTTTCAATTGCCTTCTGTCTTACGTGTTCATACACCTATACAAAGGCATATACAAATTACCATACTAATTTATACATTTATAGATGCTTTTGCTCTTGCCTTGAATTCTATATACCAGGAAACAAGGTCTTGCCTAATAGAATAATTTCTTGGTTTTGCATTTTAGAGGATTAAATATATAATAATAGTCCTTGCCTTCAGTATCAGTTTTAGTCTGAATATGGTATCTCCAAAATGAAGATGCACATATATAGTTGCAATGTTTCTTTTCATGTGCTAAAGGTATATGTTTCAGTAGTTTAAAATGTTAAAAATATAGGTATTTCTTTAAAAAAAAAAAAAGTTTTGCTTCAAAGGTAATATTTCAGAATATATTCACATGTGTCGTATTATCAACATTCATTTCTGGGAACAAGGAAACAGTATTCTTAATGGTGAGCACCAGTTAATAATAATGGAAGAAACATAAAAGAAAGCTCCTTTCTGATTTAGGTCCTTTTTTTTTTTCCTTTTTTTTTTCTTTCTTTCTTTTCTTTTCTTTCTGTGGATTAAGTGGCATGGCAACTCCCACTTATGTTTGAATTTGGTCTTGGAAGGATTCCAGAAAGAAGCCTCATATGTACCACTGCTCAAATGCTCTTTGGATGGTTACATTACTGTTAATTGATAGAAAAAGTGATGCCTAAAAGGATGAAGTGCTTTATGCTGCAATTTAGAAGCCTCTTCTGGCCAGCAGGACTCACAGAGAGAACCAACAGTCACTTTTAAGAAGAAAGAAAAACTAAACCCACTTCTCATCTATAATAAATGCTACAGAAAGAATTAAGTGGGTTGTGGGCTTCGGAGTTAGATGCAGCTATGTGTTGACAAGTTTATTTTCATCCTTGCTTAGTAGCAAAATGCTAAATATATTCTTCTTTAGTTACATTAAAGCATGTTTCCTTCCAAATTTGTCCTTCAGTTGACATGTGTTTGTTTTATTTTTAGCACTTGAAATCCAGCACAGTAATATCCCTATAGGGTGCAAATGAAGTATAGCATGAGAAAATGGAATCAGATCCTTAATCGTGAATTTATGCAGTTGAAAAGGCAAAGATCTAAATCCTGATTATGAACACCCAAAAAAAGTGGACTGTCAGGGCAGAAGATTGTGAGATTTGTTGGGGAAATTGTGCTTGTTTACCTGCTCAGAATGGGCTTCTGAAGAATACATAGGAGAGCCATGTAATGGGAGTCTCTGCGTTTTCTTGGATTTTTTTTTTTTTTTTTTGTAGGCAGTTCTCATGTATTTAGTGTTCATTGAATGTGAAATTTCTGTGAATTTGTTGTATTGTTGTATCCTTCCAAGCTTTTCTGGGCTGGGGGGTGGTGGTATTCTAAAGCACGTGATACTAATTTTTGATGGAAGAGGTCTGAAAAATGTGCAACTTACTCATCTGGACAAAACACCCTTAACCAAAACACCCATAAA